GAATCTCATTAGATCAAGACATGAGGGCAACATAACTTGGTCTTCTTAAAAGGAGTCGAGAAAAAGGTAAGAATGGGATGAAAAAGATTGCATCACTTAATCAAGAAAACTGCTAACTCCAGCTAGATTAAAATGTAAATTAGGATCATAATATCTTCACGCAGCTTTTTTGAGACCCTCTATAGTCATGACAGAACGTACCTCCACTGCATTTGCAGTGTTGCTTTATTGTTTTGCAAGGCGTTGGATTTAATAGCATCCATCAGCGACACAAACTCCGCAACAGCTGTTCCATAGTTTGTGGTGTAAGGCGATGATATGTGGATGATTTGAGAATCAGGGTCTACTTCAGGCCAGTATTCTCTGAATTGTCTGACGACGTGATTTTTCATGGAATCAGCCTCCTTTTGAGATAACTGATGCCAATTGGCACATAGGAAAAGAGGAAAAATTGACGCGGTTTCCAGATGGTCAAGACATAATCTTCTGCATTGTTTGATTGTTTCTTTCATCTATAAGGACAAACGTAAACATGGAGTTAAAAATTCTTTCGAGAGTAATAATAATGATAATAATAACAATAATAATAACATATTTAAACGGGGAAAAACCCTTTAGCAAAAGCTGTTATAAATGGTTTCTCTGGGCATTAAAATGATAATAATAAAGAAAATGATTACAGCCATGGTAATAATAATAATGATTAAAGTAATTGGTGATAATTATGATCAGTATAAGAATGATGATAACACTGATGATGATGATAAAGTTAACTGTAACATTATTGATTATTATAAAAATAATATGATAATAGCTTACGATTCCTATTTTGGATTCTTTCTGCCGAATTTTTCTTATCAATTTAGTTAAATACGTCAATATAAGGGCGGCTAAGACATTGTCTGCCGCGGGATAATTGTATTAGTCAGTTTATAATTTGAAACATGTTGCTGCAAAAATTAAACAAATGAAAGCCCTGCTATGGAAAACGCTGCGGGTGCTTTAACTTCACCTGTCCATGCAGCTTACCCTTTGTTGCTGAGTTAAACTGTCAATGACGCAGATAACTGCTAAGGCCTCAGAAAGGTATGCCTTTACTTTCACGTCTACGATCGGTGATTTTCCAAATTCTGGACTGTCAACAACAACGATTCCTTCCTAGAGGAGAGAAGGATGAGAGGTAAGTGAATCTTAAAACGGGTCAAATGACTCTTTTTCTAATAAATATTTTTGTAATTTTTTTTTTAACATCTCTGACTTTTTATCTGATCAAGAAATTAAGCTACAACTGTTCTCCTGAAGGATTAGATTGCGAACGAAAACGATGTATGTTAGGTGTCAAAGATAATCCGTCAATCAACAATATATTGAAAGACCTAAGTTTGCCAAGAATAATGTTTGATGGTAGCTTTAGCAACCCTCAAGTCATAATTTACAATATATGCTCTCCGCTAGCTAATTACCAACCTTAAGCAGGTTGTTTGGCCAAAAGATCTCAATTTTATCAAAACCTGAACCTTGCAGATCTTCATTTTGGAAAAACCAGGAGATTTTTTGAAGAAAGATATGTTGAGAGTTTCCAGCCATCTCGCCAGGTTGGATAGTCTTTGAAGGAAGGCCTGTTTGAGGATCTGCGTCTTTATAGTGCGCTACCAGCTTGTGGGTTTTTCCATATCTTAATTCGCAGACAACGGAAGAGGTGCCAAAAAAGGAGTCAGGGAGAGGTTGTTCCCCAAGAATTAGACTCAGCAACGCGCTCTTTTTCGGACCTCTTTCACCTGTGGAAAAAATCATTAGTTTTGAGAAAACTATGAAATTGGTTGTGTTTAAATTTCCAGATCGTTCTCTTTAATGAGTCCTGATTAGGT